CAGTGGGAGTAGGATCGAACTTGAGGAAGTTCGAGAGCAGCAAACAAGTTGAAGACGTTCAACCTGATTCACTGTCGGTTGTGACTCAACCTTCGATGAGTGAACCTCGGAGATCAGGTAGGATTCGCCAAGAGCCTGTGAGATACGGATTTCTCATGACTGGGAATGATGAGCTCATGTTATTGGAACATGATGAGCCTACCACATACCCAGAGGCTATGGCGAGTCCGGACTCCGAGAAATGGCGCGAGGCTATGAAGTCCGAGATGCAATCCATGTCAGACAACCAAGTATGGACTCTGATTGATACATCTGAAGGGATAAAACCCATCGGATGCAAATGGATCTTTAAGAAGAAGACCGACATGGATGGCAACGTGCACACGTATAAGGCACGACTTATGGCGAAGGGATTCCGTCAGATTCATGGTATTGACTATGATGAGACCTTTTCGCCCGTAGTTATGCTGAAGTCCATCAGGATCCTACTTGCCATAGCCGCATATTACGACTATGAGATATGACAAATGGATGTCAAGACCGCGTTCCTTAACGGGAACTTGACTGAGGATGTGTTCATGACACAACCCGAAGGTTTTGTCGATCCAAGGAACCTGAGGATGGTGTGCAAACTTCAGAGGTCCATTTATGGACTGAAGCAGGCTTCGAGGAGCTGGAACCTTCGCTTTGATGAGACAATCAAAAGGTTTGGTTTCTCACAGAACGAAGACGAGCCGTGTGTTTACAAGAAGGCTAGTGGGAGCACAGTTGTATTTCTAGTGTTGTACGTGGATGACATTCTCCTAATAGGGAATGCCGTTCCTACCTTGCAAGACATAAAATCTTGGCTAGGAACACAGTTTTCTATGAAGGACCTAGGAGAAACGGCTTATATTCTAGGCATAAAGATCTATAGAGATATATCGAGGCGTCTTCTAGGATTGTGTCAGAGTACTTACATCGATAAGGTCTTGAAACGGTTCAAGATGCAAGATTCCAAGAAAGGAACCTTACCGATGAGCAGTGACACAGTTCTCTACAAGAGTCAGTGTCCTATGACACCTGATGAGCGAGAACGCATGGATCGGATCCCATATGCTTTGGCAATTGGATCGTTCATGTATGCCATGCTCAGTACTCGACCGGATGTATCCTATGCGTTGAGCATTACGAGTAGATACCAGTCAGATCCAAGTGAGTCACACTAGATCGCCGTCAAGAACATCCTGAAGTATTTGAGAAGGACTAAGGATGTGTTCTTGATATACGGTGGGTCGGAAGACGAGCTCGCTGTAAGGGATTACACCGATGCTAGTTTCCAGTCAGACCCGGATGACTACAGATCGCAGTCTGGCTATGTTTTCTGCTTGAACGGAGGTGTTGTTAGCTGGAAGAATTCTAAGCAAGCGACCGTTGCAGATTCTACTACAGAAGTTGAGTATATTGCAGCGTCGGACGAAGCAAAGGAAGCTGTTTGGATCAGAAATTTGTTGGCGACTTGGGTGTCATTCCTAGTGTTGATAGCCCCATTGCTCTGTATTGTGACAACAATGGAGCGGTCGCACAAGCGAAAGAACCCAGATCCCATCAACGATCCAAACACATACTCAGACGATTTCACCTTATCAGGGAGATCATAGACAGAGAAGATGTGCACATTTGTAGAGTGTCCACAGATGACAACATTGTCGATCCGTTGACGAAGCCTCTCCTTTCGTCGAAGCATGAGGGTCATGTTAGGGATATGGGCATTTGATGTTTAGCAGTCCATGATTAAAGCAAGTGGGAGATTGTTGATTTAGTGCTCTATGATGTACTTTTTGCGGGATTTACTTGGATACATTTGATGTATTGACGCTTTCTATGATTTATGGATGAGTGTTTGATTCATTACGTATTTTGCATACTAGATATATTATGAAATCCATGTATTGTTATGAACAATACTAAACTCCCTAGTCGTATGTCATTGTGGGAATAATGATGTAATAAGACTAGTATGATGTGTGATTGATGATCATATAGATGATCATAGGTATTGGATACGATCACAATCATAGGTATTCGTTGGAGAACGGAATACCGGATTAACCCACATGAGATTGTCACATGGACTAGAGTCATGATTTGAATCTCATATGACGGTTCCATGATTGGATCCTAAGACCTGAGATATCTACGAAATCCAACATGAGGAGTTGCATACTTTGAATACGTCAAACGTTCTGCGTAACAGGAGAACTATAAAAGCGTGTATCATGTACGACACGAATCATGTACTGGATTGTAGATAGTCAAGACGAGATTTGCACCTCTTGTAAAAGATAGAGATATCGCTGGACCCCTCGTGTGAGTGAGACTGTAGAAATGTGTGACCGCACTATAGACATACGTCGTCTATTTCAAACAGTCGAACTCAATGAACGAGAAAGCAGTCGAATCAGATAAGGTGGCTCGTCCATGCCTTATGTTCGA